TAAAAGTCTTTGTGGAAGATGCATGTCAGGGAAGGACAGTAGGACCTGTCCTGCCAGTAGGACAGTAGGACAGCACTGTACCAAGTGGCTCTCCTGGCCTAGCCCCTGGATCCTGGCTCCCTCGCTGCCCCTGCCTGGCTCTCACCCACGGAGCCCACAGTGTGGGTTTTGCCCAGGCCTGAGGTCCGGTTGGGCACGGTCCACTTCTGGAAGAGCTGCTGAAAGACGGCTGACTCTGCCCCGTCATTCTGCACCTCCACCTGTGTGCTTGGCGGGTACTGCTTGGCTTTGATGAAGTTCTGGGAAGAGAAATGGGTGGCTGGAAGCTAGACCCCTCCCCTGGTCCCCACTCCCAATGCAAGCCAAAACCTGGCTCTAACCCCAACCAGATCCACCATCAGATGTACCCCTGGTACCAAACCTGAACCCAAACCCAGTGCCAATGCTGATCCCCAGCCTAACCCTACTCTGACCCCAACATCAAGGTCAAACCTGATACCCCATGAAACCTAACACTGCCCTCAAGCCTCACTGTGACCTCAATCTAATACCCAGACCCAACTCTGACCCCAATCCCAAAGCCAAATCTAACTCCTAGCGTGACCCTACCTCATGCTAACCCTAATGCCCAGTCCCCTATCCAACGCTGGCCCCAAGCCAGTTAGGGTCACAACTCTAGCCCCAGAAATGACCCCAAATTCTGACTTGGCCCTCGTCTGAGCTGACCCAATCCCCTTTTGTAGGAAGCCAGCCTCCTTCCATTTCTCCTTCCCTTCTTTTTTTTTTTTTTTTTTTAGTCTTGCTTTGTTGCCAGGCTCCAGGCTGGAGTGCACTGGCTTGATCTCAGCTCACTGCAACCTCTGCCTCCTGGGTTCAAGTGATTCTCTCCTGCCTCAGCCTCCTGAGTAGCTGGGACTGCAGGTGTCTGCCACCACACCCAGCTAATTTTTGTATTTTTAGTAAAGACAGGGTTTTGCCATATTGGCCAGGCTGGTCTCAAACTCTGACCTTGTGATCCACCCACCTCGGCCTCCCAAAGTGCTGGGATCACAG